TCACTTGATAGTTTGGGGTGCCAGTTAGCAGTTAGCTTGGGCTTCCCTTAGCAGTGTGTCTAAGGGGCCCCTGGAAATTCCCAGTGGGGCTCAGTGGTCCAATGGATGCATACCCTTGGTCCCATCTCGCTTCGTGCGAGTTTGAAGGTTACTGCCCCCTTATCTCAGGGTGACACTCGCCAGTTCTGTCTCCGTCATGCTGCATGTTGGGTTGGTGACACCTTCATGTTCCTTGCTTGTACTCCGGTTTACCCAATCCACTGATCTTGATAATCAGGTGCAGGCAGCTTCAGTGTTGTACTGTATTTGCATTTTAGGTTGCTGCAACGCTAGGTTGGTTGCTCCCCCCAGATGCCCCGTTTCGGTTATAGGGACCCAGACTTTGGGGCATTAGTCGCCTTGACTTTGGTTTCGTCCATGCCCCTGTGTCCTTTCCCTGCAGTTGTTCATCCATTCCCCTCCCCCTGCACCCAGCTCCGAAGTGTCTGAGGGTTTCGGAGTCAGAGCAGGGTTTAGTTGGTGTCGAGGCTCTGGCAGTTTCGGGGGATGCTCCATCCAATGTTTCAACGGAGGAATTCGAGCCAGTACCTCCAGTCGTTGCTTCTGGGTCTGACCAGCGGGCCCCCTTTGTTCCTGTTTTTTCGGTGGACTCTTAAGTTTTCTTTTTGAGGCAGAGGGTTCGGAGGAAGGCTCGGCCCTGGGTCCTGGTGTGGAGGTTCCCGGAGCAGGGGCGGAGGGTTGAGTTGGGCCCCATTTGACCGTGCTTAGGTGTTGGTACCCTCAGTGTGGGGCTTGTTACAGGGGGTGGGGGTTTTCTTATACTCCCTGTACGAGTTTGAAATGGCGTCGGCTCCTCCACGGGTTCAGACTCGAAATATTGTATTTTGTTCAGAGTAGCTGAAATTAAAACAACTTGCAGCTTACCACCTGTGTGACACGGATTATGCCTCGATAATGGATTTTGCTTCTTTTGAGTTCGGTTCTTTATTTCTTTACTGGATGCATTAAGAGGTTCCGGAGTCATCCTCATTGGCAGACTGTCCTCTTCGTTGGGGCATACGTTCTGTCGGTCCCGCACACTCGAGGGGCAAGGGGCTCTTACTGTTGTTTAGGTTTGCTTGGGGACGAATTGGAAAGCCTCAATACGTGCAGGTTCACTCCCTTTCGGCGACCCTGGTAGCTGAGGACTTGCGCGCCTGTGTCCATTTGGCTTGGGTCCTACGTTTCTTTTTCCCTGCTCGAGCTGTAATCAGATTGGCTTGAGGAGGATGTGGAGGCGCTGGGTGCTGATCCTAGTTCTGGTGTGCTAGACTCGGAGGTGCGGGTGTTGGCTACCCTGTTGAAGCTGTATGCCCTGATCCTGTGGAAGGTGGTGTCTGTTCTTTGCTTCTCGTCTTGTGTCATCAGGCAGTGCTCGCTCAATCCTTGGAATCCACTTGGGCCCCCTGGCTCTTGGGTTTTCTTTGCCTTTTTGTTCTTTTGCTGTTTGCGGAGTCTGCAGTGGTGCAGTATCTGCAGGCAGTGTCTTCGAGTCATCGTCCCATGTCGGACTTGTTGGTTCTCTTAGGGGGGGGGGTTCTTCCTGGAAGGGTCATGCCAGGGCTCGGGGTTCCTCTCATTGTGGTAAGACAGTGGTGCCAGTTTCTGAACCGGCGATTTCTGGACGGCGTGGTGATCGCACTGCTCGTTGGTTGGCGCTTCGGGTCGTTTCTTGCGGCCTGCGTTGGCGTTGAGTGGCCCCTCCCCCTTGGGGGGGGGGGGAGGGGTTCGGGGCAGGTCTCCTCTCTTGCGCTTTGTCCGGTCATCTTGAAGTGGAATTGTTTGGGCGTGGTCGAAACGTCTTCATTCCTCAGGTGTGTTTCCCGCCTGTTTACAGTTCTGAAACGGAACTGCACGGACCTGCGGTTCATTCTGGATTTGTCCCGTCTAAACCCCTGGGTCTATTGCCCCTCTTTTCGGAGGACTACTCTGTCCCAGGTCAGTTTTTTAGAGCTGGACGCTTGGATGGTGTCACTGAACCTTCAGGACGCATATTGGCACATTCTGATTCATCCGGGTTCAGGGACTAGCTCAATTTTGTTGTGGGGCATCAGGTGTAATGTTTTCATTGCCTTTCGGCTTGAATCTGGTGTATCCCATGTTCACGCGCTTCACCCAGGTCGTGGTGGCCCATCTTTGTCTCTTAGGGGTTCGGGTTCTGGCCTACCTAAATGACTGGCTGGTGTGGACTCCCAGCCAGTCCGCGTGTCTGGTCGCCAGGGATTTGGTTCTTTCCCAGCTTGCCAGGTTCGGGATTTTGGTGAACTGGAGGAAGTCCCATCTGGTTCCCTCTCGGGTTCAGACCTGGCTGGGTCTTTTATGGGACTCTCGTACCGCTTTCTTGCCTCTTCCTCCAGGGGGGTCTGCTGTGGCTGCAGTCCCGCCTTCAGATGTTTCTGGAGGGCTCTTGGATCACGAGGTGGTTGCTCAAGGGTTTATGCAGGAGTCTGAATTTTGCCATGCTGGTCTACCCACCTGGTTGGGTTTGGCTTCGTCGTCTGTTATAGTTCTTTCAGGGACGTCCCGTTTGAATGTCTCGCGATCTCTGGGTTCGGCTTCCGGGCGTCTTATGTTGACTGCTGCGTCACCAACTTCCTCTTCGGGTTTTTTGGGGTTCAGTGCCTTGGCACCTACCCGAACCCTTGCTCGATGTGTTCGCATATGTGTCGTCTCTTGGCTGGGACTTTGTGACTAGTACTCACCAGGCCAGCCAGGGGCGGTGGGGCCCGTCCTTCCATTGGGCCCACAGCATGGTGCTGGCGTTCAAGGCCATGTAGATGTCGCTTTGAAGAATTCGGGTCACTCGAGGTTCACCGATCTGGCTCCATTTGGACTGCTCCTGATGATTCATTGCCTGAACTGTGGGGGTTCAATGTGGTCCTTGGCTCTTTGGGACTGGTCGCTTCAGGTGACTCTGCTGAGTTCTTGGGGTTTGGCTCTCCTTGCCGTTCACGTTCGGGGGGGTGGGTGTCCAGTGTCCTGGCGAATGGCCTCCCTGTCATGATTCATTTCTCTGTCCACAGAATGGATGGTAGACGCCGACTCGTTCAGTTGGCTCTGCTGGAGGTGGACCTCTTTTTGTCGGCGTGGTTGAGGCGCCTCCCGAATTATGTGGCGCCCTTCCCTGACTGTGAGGCAGTCAGGGTCAATGCCATCGGGCAGGACTGGTTGAGGTGGGGTTACCTGTACCTCTTCCCCCTGGTTCCATTGTTGCTTGTACCAGGTTCTAGCTTGCTTGGAGGCTAACCAAGGGAGAGTAGTCCTGTTGGCCCCCTTGGTGGTGGCCCAGCCTTGGTTTCAGGCGCTGCTTGCTTGGTGTCTGAACCCGGGGGTCTTACAGTGGCTCCACCTTTTTCAGCAGATAGTGCCAGTCCATTAAGTAGCTGGTGCAATCTTCTCCTCAAGTCCATGTCTGGTCTTTCTGACGTGGGTCCATCACCATTTGTATGGTGAGCAGATGGCTTCGTTGATAGTGTCCCACCTCGTCTTGGTGGCAGTATGAAGTTTCCTGGCGGTCCTTTCGATATTTCTTGTCCCTCTGTAGGTTTTCTTTTGTTTCAGATCAGGTTGTCTTGTCCTCCTTTTCTTAGTTATTTCCGGACTGTCGTCTAATGCCGCATACTGTTGCCTCGTATCGTGCGGAGCCACTTCAGCTTGCGTTCAGGTTGGATGTTACTACTGCTCCATTCTGCAGCTGCCTTGTGTATTGTTTCACCTCGGGCCTGCTCATGCGCCGCCCGAGCCATCCTGGTCATTGGACCAGGTGCTTTCTTTTTTCTCTCTTCTCCTTAGTTTGTTGTGGCCCCTTCGGTTCAAGATTGTTTTTCAAAGACTCTTTTTTCCTGTTAGGATTGGCCTCTGGGGGTCAGGTTGGGGAGCTTCATGCTCGCCTCAGTTTTCTGCTCTTTTGGTCTTGATGGTAGGTTTGTTCGTTTGCAGCCATCTCCTTCTGGCGAAGAATAAGATGGCAGCTCTACGGAGAGGTCCTTGGGTTGTTGATGCATGATTGGTTTGGCCGGGGAAGGGGGCATCATGTGTTGTCGAGTTGCAGCTCTTTACCTGTGCGCCACAGCCTCGGTGGCCTTGGTTGCGTTTTGGGTTGACCCAGTTTCCTTTCTTCCCTGTTCCATGGTTCGTTTCTTCCAGTTCATCCCCCAGGGTTATTCGATCCAGCCAGCCTGCGGTCTATCCTCGTTCCCGTGACGTTCGTAAGTTTGCTGCGTTGGCTGTCGTCTTTGATAATGTCTTGGGCTGACATTCAAGCACAAGGTTTTTGGAGGTCATACAAGGTCCTGGCCGCTCGCTATCTAGTCAATATTCCTGGCCCTAGTCGAGCATGTGTCGCATTGGGTCGGCGGTTGCAGCCAGTTGGCTCGACATAGAGTTGAGGAGCGAGTGACAACCGCCTTCTGGGTAAGTCCATCTTGTTTTTATCTTTGGTGAAGTCGCTCCGGGAAGTCAAAGGGGCTCCCCCCAGAAAACCAGCGTTGAATGTAATGAAACACCATTTTCTGAGTGAGACCCGGAGGCTCCCCGGCAACCCTCCCTCCCTAACGACGGCGTTTTTTGCGGTTTTGACATCCAGCCTCTGAACTGGAAGATGGATAGCCAGAGTGGGGATTCTGGAGCTCTTCTTTCCCTCTCCCGGGATAAGGGAAGCTGCACAGACAGCGGCGCAGTGACGGTCGTGACGTCATGCTTGTTTGCTCTTTTTAGTTTGGGGAGTTCTGTTCAACAGTTTGGCTTTCAGTAGCAATTTTTTAACCAGATAGACTTTGTTTTAAGGTCGCTGGGTCTGGCACCTACTTTTCTGGGTGCCAGACCCAGTCGATGGCAGACATAGAATGCTTCCAACCACACAGGGGTTTCTATAGGCCATTTCTCCTCATGCCTCTTGGAGGGGGGTCAGGTTCTGGTTCGTGGTTCCCGGTAGGCCTTAGAACTCCATTCGTTTTGACTGATGCCACAGTCTAATACATTCATATCAGCCTGGATAGGTCCGGAGAGTCTCTTGGTCTCGGTGAGAATATGGCGTTTCATTACATTCAATGCTCTTTACTTTTTTACATAAATTTTAATGATTCCTTTTACAATGTCAACTTAATATTTGAATGATTACCTTTTGAATGTACTTTGAATCACTCTTCTTGCTCAATTAGTTGCAGAGATGAATAAGAAAATGGGTTGTTTTCAGACTCCCCAAGAATAGGGAGAGCACTTTAACTGTTGAATCAAAATTTGGATTTTTCTGAAAATTGGTATTTTGAGGGTTTTGGGTAAAGATGAAGATATAGGGCAACCTAAAGGAAAATTGAAAGAGGGGTGGCACAAATTTCACTGCTGTGTTTTTCTGCGTGATCTATCATGCAATACTTTCCACTTTCTTAATTCCTTTATGCAGACTTCTTGCACATTTAACACTTCACATTTTCTGATCTTCCTAATGCTTTTCTATTGTTGCCTCTATCAAATATAAATTCTAAATATTAAAATTACCTAGTAAGCTTTTAGTGCTTAGTATAATCATTTATTGGAAAACTTTTATCATATGATCAGCATAATTTCACAGTGCAGGTACTGTGTGTGTGTGTGTGTGTGTGTGTGTGTGTGTGTGTGTGTGTGTGTGTGTGTGTGTGTGTGTGTGTGTGTGTGAATATTATGTATTACTGTGCTATGTATTAAACTTATAGGTTGGTATTAATTGCTTGTGTTTTACAGATTTATGACCAGTTTGGTAAAGAGGGGCTTCAAACGGGCAGTGGTCCTGGACCTACTAGGCCACGTTCTTCTCGATCTGCACGGCATCACTACAGATTCGAAGAGGACTTTGATTATACTTTCCCTACATTTACATTTAGAGATCCTGAAGAAGTGTTCCGTGAATTCTTTGGGGGAGATCCTTTTGCAGAATTGTTCAATTTTGATCCATTTGATCCACTTGGGCACAATGCAAATCGCCGTCGTCGACAAGGTAGACAGCGAGGCGGCCATCAGCAAGGAGCAGCAGCACATGTCAGTAACCAGAATTCCATCAGCAATCATTTCTTTTCTCCTTTTGGCCCACTGTTTGGTCCACCCATGTTCTCACCTTTCTCAGGTCTTGAAGGAATTGAAGGTGGTGGCAGCTTCACCTCTTTCTCTTCTCATGCATTTTCCACTATGGGAGGCCCTGGTGTGAAGCGTTCATCAACCTCAACTAAGTTTGTCAATGGGAAAAAAATTACAACCAAGAAGGTATCTGAAGGTGGCCAAGAAACAGTTATGACCTTTGAAAATGATGTTCTGAAATCCAAAACAGTCAATGGTGTACCACAAGCCTTACAGTATTAAGGTTACAAGACAAAGCTGTAGGCTGTGAAAGTGAAAATCTTACACCAGATCTTTATAAAAGACTGGAGAGATTATAATTCTTGATGATTGGTAAGATGCTGATCTTTGAGAGATTGGAGAAATGCTGACTCTAGCTGACTGAGCAAATACTTTTGTGTTCTTGGTAAGAATGCTTACTTTGTTCATTGGTAGAAGTTGGTTAAGAATGGTGAAAGAATGTGGTGTGTACATTGTCTTTTAAGTTATTAATTTTGCTCTGCAAATATTAAGAAAATGTACTTCTACTGCAACTTCTGTAAACTATAGTTATGAGCAGTTTTTTTTTCAATGAGTTGTACTTAAAAACTGTTCTAGCTAGGGGGAATCATGATTATTTATCACTTCGTCGTGTGTAATAACCAGATGAATAGACTTCTTTCAAAGAGAATTTGTGGAAGGGTATAATGGTACACTCATCTTGCCATTATGTTTCTTAGGTACGAGTTTATTTCTGTAATGGTTTTTCAGATATGTGGTCAAGCTATCCTTGAATGAATTCTTCAAAATAGTTTTACCTTCATTGCAAATGTATACTGTACATATATAAGAGGGAGCACTTTATTTTATTTTTTTAGGTATACTGTACACAAAAATATTTTGCCCTGAAATTTTTCCCAGAGACCCTAAGGCATAGCAAAGTCCAGATTGCATTACAATTATATTTTTGCTATTTTTTGAAGCAAGGTAATTATTGCTTATTTAAACTGTGATCTTTTGCGTTTCTCATTTTCTTTGTCATGCTGATTTTCATGATGGTCAAGCTGATTTTTTATGGTTATGCCAATTGTCTTTTGAATTGCAGGATGCTTGAAATGTGAAACACATTTTATCATAAATACTATATATAAAGTCTATCTTAGTTTTGCACAAATGTGTAATCTATGTTTTCTTGCTCAGGAGTACATTGTTTCAAATGTGATAATTTTTGTTAGTATTATGTGAGAGAGAACTAGTATTAGTCATATCACTAGCTTCCCCACAGTAGGCATAAGATTTGAATCGGTGTTCAATCTAGACTTAGCATTGTGCTTGTTAAGTATTTACATACCTGCAACTTAAGCCAGTTTGGTAGTTGTTGGTGTTCAGAGACAAGACTGAATACTTATTTGATCACTTTTAGTACTAAGTAAGGGATTGTCTTCTGCCCAACTGTCAGTGCAAAGAATACTGATTTTGTAGGCCTGAGCACATTATGAAGATAGTGCTGTGCTTAGTTGAGAGCATCTAGTTTGAGATAAGAAAATCTCTCTTAGATCATTAAGATGCTAAATCACAAAGGATTAAGAATTAGAATTCCTAAACTGAAGTAAAGTTAGTTTTACTTTAGTTTTATGTAGAACCTTGGAACTTTGAACACTAACGTTAAATTGGCTCTGGCCAAGGTTAGATTTTTTTTATTTTTCTTCATTGAATAGTATGCAAAGATCAGAATCCTATAGAAATAGATTGCATTTTAGAGTTAAAAAATCCTTATTATATTTTTGTATATACAGTATAAAATTGTGAGCTGAACAATTCTTTAATGGAAAGGTATTTTTGCTGGATGGGAACAAGTGGAATGTCAAGAACAGTCAACCAAGTAATAAGCAGGTTACTTGGTAGTTTATGTTCTAGGACAATTCTCTTGCTAGATGGATCATCAGAATACAAGTATTGTATTTGCAGCAATGTGACAATTTATGACTGATATTTTGTGAGGGAACAGTGTGATGTATTAATATTTCTTTTCTTTGTTTTCCTTATCACATTGATGTAATTAATCTCTTAATAATACCTGATAATGTACCATATATATTTGAGCATATATTTTTTTCTATTCAAGAGAGGGATATAGGCATTCTGATCTCATTGCACATTGTCTAGAACCATGGCCTAGAGCATACTGTCCAATGTGTGTTGTTAATTCTCTTGAGACTGCAGTGTCAGTGTCTTGGTGGAGAAGCATTGCACTTGCCAAAGATGAAGGATTTGTATTGCTTATGCAGTGTGAATCAAAAGTTTAAAGGTTATCTTATTTCCCAACTTCAGGTGACCCATTTTTATCTTGTATTTTAGCAGGAACATTTTTGAATGACCTAAAATGGTGGTGATGGCAGCATTGGTGTAGCAATGTGTTGATGTAAAGAGTTGTGGGCATAAGTGTTACACAAAACTAGTTTGTTAATATGTACGGTAAAAGTTTACCTGTTTGCAGTTTCTGCAAGAGGAAATTTTTGGCAACAGGCTTGGCTTGCCTCGCTTTCAAAATGTTAACAGTTTAAGAGCTGTTAACAGTTTGAGAATTATTAATTGTACATTTTGGAAAGTTTAGGCCTGTTTACTTTATATCGGTTAACTAGTAAAAAAAATAGGAATACCTGTTAAATTGTAGCTTCCTATGGTGTTGACTTTTTTTTTTTTTATATATATATATTAAAACCTCGAGCAAGTTAACACTAGTATTGATTATATTCTAAAAATGTGTAGCATCAGGATCCATTTGTTTCTTAGCAGTGAAGTTGTGTATTGTATTTGATATCTAATTTATGCTGATTTATATATAATTTATCCTGGTTTCATTCTTAAAACCTTTGATTTCATCTGGGAATGACACTCGGCTGTTAATTATACTAATAATGTACTTAATGCCAAACTAACACTCGTTACATATTCTGGATATTCTGGTGTCATTAAATGCTTTTCATTCACCTGGGCTCCAGGAGACTCGAACCATGGACCCCACGGTCTCCTAGAACTATGGACCCCACGGTCTCCTAGAACTATGGACCCCACGGTCTCCTAGAACTATGGACCCCACGGTCTCCTAGAACTATGGACCCCACGGTCTCCTAGAACCATGGACCCCACGGTCTCCTAGAACCATGGACCCCACGGTCTCCTAGAACCATGGACCCCACGGTCTCCTAGAACCATGGACCCCACGGTCTCCTAGAACCATGGACCCCACGGTCTCCTAGAACCATGGACCCCACGGTCTCCTAGAACCATGGACCCCACGGTCTCCTAGAACCATGGACCCCACGGTCTCCTAGAACCATGGACCCCACGGTCTCCTAGAACCATGGACCCCACGGTCTCCTAGAACCATGGACCCCACGGTCTCCTAGAACCATGGACCCCACGGTCTCCTAGAACCCAGGTGAATGAAGGGTTTATTTCCACGGACGTGTGGATGACAAATTAAATGCTTTACTAACAGGCACTCTCTATTTTAAGTTCTTGGAATGCTTAATGACTCCAGAATAACACGAAGTGAACAGCTGTTAGTAGGCAAGTGCCCAATAAATGTGGGAGTGTATCTTCTCGCATACAACTATTGCATATCCATTTCATCTGATAAGCATTGTAAGTTTTAGCAGCTTTCCTTGGACTGGAAACAAGTTAACTACTGTAAACAAAATCCAGTTGTTTTCAATGGCATTGGATTTTTTAATGTGAAGACAGTTATGGATGTGAATAACCAATTTATATTGTACTACAAGGTACCCAAAGGTGACTTGCACCCATTCAAGATGGCTTAACCTTGCTTTGATTGTATATGTAATATTTATGTAAACTATGAATAATAAAGTGTTTATAATCTTTACTTATACTTATATTCTTTTTTTTTCATTCCAGACATTTTTTCCATTAAGAGTACCTAGAATAGTAGTTCACATAGCCAATCACTATTCTAGCTTGCTTGTTTAATGTACAGCTTTGCACATAGTGGGAAAGCAGGATTTTTTTTATTTTAATAGAACTGGAACATTGCTTACATCCTCAAGACCTAAGTTCTCTCAGTCAGTAGTATTAATGCTAGGAGGTAAGCACAGATAGTCTTGTTTAATTTATTGGTTGATAAGTAATTTTTTATTTGTAAAACTAGTTTACAATATAGACTGTGAAACCATACTAATGAAATATGGAAATGTTTTGGGAAGCATTCGAAATTTGCTTAAGATAAAGTGGTCAAAGTAATGTTTGCTATTAGAAAGCATTAGTAAATACATATATTTTAGAAGTGTTGGAAAAATTACCTGTAATTGGATTCCAAATTAAAAAAAATGAATGATTAGTCACAGTACTTGGCCTCTTAACTGAACCTTGTCATGCCTTCCTGGACCAAATCTGGGGAAAAGGATTGAATTATAACAATATTTATTTTCCAATGAACACTTAAGAGGAAGACCAAGGTTAATAAGTTAATGTGTCCGTAAGGAAGGCTCCGGCCTCCGCCGGTTCAGTGAGAGCCCCTCGGATGACTGCTGCCAGTAAACACAAGCTCAAGGAAACCAGTTGAATACCAAGATGAGCTCCCGATGATACTCTAGCCATACTCTAGCCATACAAATGCCTGATGCCTGAGCCTGATGATCGAGTTCGCGTAGATCATCCACAGAGCATATAAATATTTTGTTTCTCTCTAATAAAATATACATTAAAACATTAATTGTTAAACCTAGTACGGGCAATATGAATGATGATAATAAAAATAAAAGTTATGATCGTATCCCCTATTAAGTTAGGCGCATGTGTTGCATGGTTGCGTCCATAGCAACCGCCTTAGCAACCCAGTCACAACGGCCAGGCCGGCGCCGCAAGCAGTTATACATTGTTACTTTAAAATTTGTGAACTTAGCATATTGTTTCTGGTCATCAGCGGTGAGCATACTCTGAGCTTGGTATTCCATACAACTAATTATATAAATAAAATGAGATTTGGAGGGTTAATTTTTCAACTTTTTTCCAGAGTGATGAAAACCATAATTTGAAATTAGATAATTTGATGAAAATTTAGAATACTGTAATTAATTTTGTTGGGGACAAGATATGTGTGTGTGTGTGTGTGTGTGTGTGTGTGTGTGTGTGTAATTACCTAAGTGTAATTACCTAAGTGTAATTACCTAAGTGTAGTTACAGGATGAGAGCTACGCTCGTGGTGTCCCGTCTTCCCAGCACTCTTTGTCATATAACGCTTTGAAACTACTGACGGTCTTGGCCTCCACCACCTTCTCACTTAACTTGTTCCAACCGTCTACCACTATTTGCGAAGGTGAATTTTCTTATATTTCTTCGGCATCTGTGTTTAGCTAGTTTAAATCTATGGCCTCTTGTTCTTGAAGTTCCAGGTCTCAGGAAGTCTTCCCTGTCGATTTTATCAATTCCTGTTACTATTTTGTACGTAGTGATCATATCACCTCTTTTTCTTCTGTCTTCTAGTTTTGGCATATTTAATGCTTCTAACCTCTCCTCGTAGCTCTTGCCCTTCAGTTCTGGGAGCCACTTAGTAGCATGTCTTTGCACCTTTTCCAGTTTGTTGATGTGCTTCTTAAGATATGGGCACCACACAACAGCTGCATATTCTAGCTTTGGCCTAACAAAAGTCATGAACAACTTCTTTAGTATATCGCCATCCATGTATTTAAATGCAATTCTGAAGTTAGAAAGCATTGCATAGGCTCCTTGCACAATATTCTTAATGTGGTCCTCAGGTGATAGTTTTCTATCTAGAACCACTCCTAGATCTCTTTCTTTATCAGAATTCTTTAAAGATTTCTCACATAATATATAGGTTGTGTGGGGTCTATGTTCTCCTATTCCACATTCCATAACATGACATTTATTAACATTAAATTCCATTTGCCAAGTGGTGCTCCATATACTTATTTTGTCCAGGTCTTCTTGAAGGGCATGACAATCATCTAAATTTCTTATCCTTCCTATTATCTTAGCATCATCAGCAAACATGTTCATATAATTCTGTATACCAACTGGTAGATCATTTATGTACACAATAAACATCACTGGTGCAAGAACTGAACCCTGTGGTACTCCACTTGTGACATTTCTCCATTCCGATACATTGCCTCTGATTACTGCCCTCATTTCTCTATCAGTCAGAAAATTTTTCATCCATGATAGAAGCTTACCTGTCACCCCTCCAATATTTTCCAGTTTCCAGAACAACCTCTTATGTGGAACTCTGTCGAAAGCCTTTTTTAGGTCCAGATAGATGCAGTCAACCCAGCCATCTCTTTCCTGTAATATCTCTGTGGCCCGATCATAGAAACTGAGTAAATTCGATACACAGGATCTTCCTGATCGAAAACCATACTGTCTGTCTGATATTATATCATTTCTCTCCAGGTGTTCTACCCATTTAGTTTTGATTAGCTTTTCCAATACTTTCACTATTACACTTGTCAATGATACAGGTCTATAATTGAGGGGGTCTTCCCTGCTGCCACTTTTGTAGATTGGAACTATGTTAGCCTGTTTCCACACGTCTGCTACGATTCCTGTACACAGGGATGCCTGAAAGATCAGGTGAAGTGGAATGCTGAGCTCAGATGCACATTCTCTCAGAACCCATGGTGAAACGCCATCTGGGCCAGCTGCTTTGTTCCTCCCGAGCTCCTTTAGCATATTTTCCACTTCATCTCTAGACACCTCTATCCGCTCTATGTTGTTCTCTGGAATTCTTATTGTGTCTGGTTCTCTGAAGATTTCATTTTGTACAAACACACTTTGGAACTTTTCATTTAATGTTTCACACATTTCCTTTTCATTTTCCGTGAATCTGTTTCCCATTTCCAACCTCTGGATATTATCCTTTACCTGCAATTTGTTGTTTATGAATTTGTAGAATAGGCCCGGTTCTGTTTTACATTTAGTGTGTTAGTGTGTGTGTTAGTGTGTGTGTGTGTGTGTGTGTGTATATATAATATATATATATATATATATATATATATATATATATATATGTCGTACCTAGTAGCCAGAACTCACTTTTTGGCCTACTATGCAAGGCCCGATTTGCCTAATAAGCCAAGTTTTCCTGAATTAATATATTTTTTCTAATTTTTTTCTTATGAAATGATAAAGCTACCCATTTCATTATGTATGAGGTCAATTTTTTTTTATTGGAGTTAAAATTAACGTAGATATATGACCGAACTTAACCAACCCTACCTAACCTAACCTAACCTATCTTTATAGGTTAGGTTTGGTTAGGTAGCCGAAAAAGTTAGGTTAGGTTAGGTTAGGTAGGTTAGGTAGTCGAAAAACAATTAATTCATGAAAACATGGCTTATTAGGCAAATCGGGCCTTGCATAGTAGGCCAAAAAGTGAGTTCTGGCTACTAGGTACGACATATATATATATATATATATATATATATATATATATATGTCGTACCTAATAGCCAGAACGCACTTCTCAGCCTACTATTCAAGGCCCGATTTGCCTAATAAGCCAAGTTTTCATGAATTAATGTTTTTTCGTCTACCTAACCTACCTAACCTAACCTAACCTAGCTTTTTTTGGCTACCTAACCTAACCTTACCTATAAATATAGGTTAGGTTAGGTTAGGTAGGGTTGGTTAGGTTCGGTCATATATCTACGTTAATTTTAACTCCAATAAAAAAAAACTGACCTCATACATAGAGAAAAGGGTTGCTTTATCATTTCATAAGAAAAAAATTATAGTAAATATATTAATTCAGGAAAACTTGGCTTATTAGGCAAATCGGGCCTTGAACAGTAGGCTGAGAAGTGAGTTCCGGCTACTAGGTACGACATATATATATATATATATATATATATATATATATATATATATATATATATATATATATATATATATATATGTCGTACCTAGTAGCCAGAACTCACTTGTCAGCCTACTATGCAAGGCCCGATTTGCCTAATAAGCCGAGTTTTCCTGAATTAATATATTTTCTCTAATTTTTTTCTCATGAAATGATAAAGCTACCCATTTCATTATGTATGAGGTCAATTTTTTTTTTATTGGAGTTAAAATTAACGTAGATATATGACCGAACCTAACCAACCCTACCTAACCTAACCTAACCTATCTTTATAGGTTAGGTTAGGTTAGGTAGCCGAAAAAGTTAGGTTAGGTTAGGTTAGGTAGGTTAGGTAGTCGAAAACCAATTAATTCATGAAAACTTGGCTTATTAGGCAAATTGGGCCTTGCATAGTAGGCTGAGAAGTGAGTTCTGGCTACTAGGTACGACATATATATATATATATATATATATATATATATATATATATATATATATATATATATATATATATATGTCGTACCTAGTAGCCAGAACTCACTTCTCAGCCTACTATTCAAGGCCCGATTTGCCTAATAAGCCAAGTTTTCCTGAATTAATATATTTACTATAATTTTTTTCTTATGAAATGATAAAGCAACCCTTTTCTCTATGTATGAGGTCAATTTTTTTTTATTGGAGTAAAAATTAACGTAGATATATGACCGAACCTAACCAACCCTACCTAACCTAACCTAACCTATATTTATAGGTAAGGTTAGGTTAGGTAGCCAAAAAAAGCTAGGTTAGGTTTGGTTAGGTAGGTTAGGTAGACGAAAAAACATTAATTCATGAAAACTTGGCTTATTAGGCAAATCGGGCCTTGAATAGTAGGCTGAGAAGTGCGTTCTGGCTATTAGGTACGACATATATATATATATATATATATATATATATATATATATATATATATATATATATATATATATATATATATATATATATATATATATATGTCGTACCTAGTAGCCAGAACTCAC